TCACTAAATTGGACCGGTTGCAGTGCCTAGAGTTTGATTTGCATTTGCTAATGAAAGTTGGAAGCTGTTCACATTGTACAGTTCTGACAGTCACCACACCAATGGCAGGACTATACAATGTGACAGTACTGTCACAAATGAAACAGAACATTGTGCAGTGCATATATGTTAATTAAAAAAAAATGTCAAATCCTAGTGTTCAAGGTGGTTCTAGTAATTTGTAATTCCATTACAGTGAAGACTGTGGCTGGTGGTGGCCTCCCCTGTGAGTTTTTTGTTGCCATGTGCCTATTTCCTGCCTGGTTGCTCAATAAAGAGCTGTTTTTGGTTCAGGGTCATGGCTTTAGTCAACTCTTCTTTGACTGCTGTTACAGTATTACTGTTCTGTATGAGAGGCCGTTTAGGCCAAAATCCTAACTAACCTCTCACACTCACTATCAAACCTCTCACATTCACTATCAAACCCTCTCACATTCACCATCAAACCCTATCACACTCACTATCAAACTCTTACACTCACCATTAAACCCTCTCAGACTCGCCATCAAACTCTCTTACACTCACTATCAAACTCTTTTACACACGCTATCAAACTCTGACACTCACTATCAAACCCTCTCACACTCACTATCAAACCCTCTCACATTCACTATCAAACTCTCTCACACTCACTATCAAACTCTCTTACACACGCTATCAAACTCTCACACTCACTATCAAACCCTCTCACACTCACTATCAAACTCTCTCACACTCACTATCAAACTCTCTTACACATGCTATCAAACTGACACTCACTATCAAACCCTCTCACACTCACTATAAAACTCTCTCACACTCACTATCAAACTCTCTCACACTTGCCATCAAACTCTCTCACACTCACTGTCAAACTCTCTCACACTCACTGTCAAACTCTCTCACACTCACTATCAAACTCTAAGGCATTCTTGATAGTGAGTGTGAGAGAACTTGATAGAGTGTATAAGAACTTGATGGTCGCGTTTTCTGATTGGCCTAGAGCGTTATCATTTAAATTAGCACTTTCTGATTCGCTCATAGCCAAATATGCCCATCCCCCAGTGCGGTACTTCACTCTTAAAAACAGATAGTTCTTCAAAGGTCCTTTAGTAAAGACAGTGGTTCTATACAGAACTAGGAACACAGAAAGAACCATTTGCATGAACAAAGAGCTCTTTGCATGGTGAAATGGTTCTTCAGATTGATAGACAATGTGCTGTAGATGGTATAACAAGTCGTTTTGGTGCTATCGCGGTCCGTGTATTCTCGTCTTTTATTCTGTTATTGTCAGTGGAAAAATCACGAAATGGCTTTGTTTCATAGTTTCACAAACTAAGCATAAAATTAAATAACAAACAAACAACAATGGAGGGCCGTAAATTACTTATCCAAATTTTAAAAATCTATCACTTTAACCTGAAGTACACGTGCAGAGGGCACGCCTGGTCTCAGAAACTCAGAAATCACTGAAATCGGGCCTGTTTGTCGGGGCTGTGCAGAATCCTGACTCCCCTTCGCGTGCACCCGCCTTTCGAAGGCGTACGGACACTTCAGATTATACTCGCGATTTCGGTAACGGTTAATCCTCGCTTCTCCTTCACAACAAACAGCACGTCAGGACCCAAAGCCGAACACAGAGTCTCGCAGTGAGAGTTCAGTTTAATGTACCGAAGGCGCCACGGCGCAGCTCCGCATACCGCGCCTCTAAAGCTCCTTCCCAAAACCAGAGCCGCCACAGTATTATGTGAACAATATGAATACAGGACAGCGCACAGCTTTAATTCTTAAGTTTGGATCTGTAACACAGTCACTATAACGAAGTTCACATCTGACGACGCGACATTACAATGAATTTTTCTCATCATTATTGGGCAGCGTGACTTTCACTCCTCTTTGATTTCACTGTTAAATGACGGGAGTCCGGTAGTCTTTTCTTCATATCGCTTCAGTTTTTTGCTGATAGAATAGCTGCATAAAATATACAAACGCCTATAAAACGTAATGTTGCCTCCCCAAATGCCGCACTAGGCCTATCCTCTCAACATTCATACCTGATCTTTTCTGTCTTTATCATTCTTAACCGCGATCGCCTGATTGTTGAGCTTCTGCGACCAGACGTGCCCTCTGCACGTTTATTTCCGGTTAAATTGATAGAACTTTTTACATTTGGATAAATAAAGTACGACCCTTTATTTTACTTCTGTTATTAAATTTTATGCTTAGTTTGTGAAACTGACACAAAGCCATTTCGTGATTTTTCCACTGACAATAACAGAATAAAAGACGAGAATACACGGACCGCGATAGCACCAAAACGACTTCAGTCATACCATCTACAGCACATTGTCTATCAATCTGAAGAACCATTTCACCATGCAAAGAGCTCTTTAATCATGCAAATGGTTCTTTTTGTGTCCCTAGTTCTATATAGAACCGCTGTCTTTACTAAAGGACCTTTGAAGAACTATCTGTTTTTAAGAGTGAAGTACCGCACTGGGGGACGGGCATATTTGGCTATGAGCGAATCAGAAAGTGCTAATTTAAATGATAACGCTCTAGGCCAACCAGAAAACGCGACCATCAAGTTCTCTCATACACTCTATCAAGTTCTCTCACACTCACTATCAAGAACGCCCTAGAGTTTGACAGTGTGTGTGTGAGAGAGGGTTTGATAGTGAGTGTGAGAGAGTTTGATGGTGAGTGTGAAAGGGTTTGATAGTGAGTGTGAGAGAGTTTGACGGTGAGTGTGAGAGAGTTTGATAGTGAGTTTGATAGTGAGTGTGAGAGAGTTTGATAGTGAGTGTGAGAGAGTTTGATGGCGTGAGAGGGTTTGATGGTGAGTGTGAGAGAATTTGATAGTGAGTGTGAGATTTTGATAGTGAGTGTGAGAGAGTTTGATAGTGAGTGTGAGAGAGTTTGATGGCGAGTGTGAGAGGTTTGATAGTGAGTGTGAGAGAGTTTGATAGTGAGCGTGAGAGGGTTTGATAGTGAGCGTGAGAGAGTTTGATAGTGTGAGAGAGTTTGATAGTGAGTGTGAGAGGGGTTGATATTGAGTGTGAGAGGTTTGATGGCGAGTGTGAGAGAGTTTGATGGTGAATGTGAGAGGTTTGATGGTGAGTGTGAGAGCGTTTGATGGTGAGTGTGAGAGAGTTTGATAATGAGCATGAGAGGGTTTGATAGTGAGTGTGAGATTTTGATAGTGAGTGTGAGAGTTTGATAGTGTGAGAGTTTGAAAGTGAGCATGAGAGGGTTTGATAGTGAGTGTGAGAGAGTTTGATAGTGAGTGTGAGAGGGTTTGATAGTGTGAGAGAGTTTGATGGTGAGTGTGAGAGAGTTTGATAGTGAGTGTGAGAGGGTTTGATAGTTAGTGTGAGAGTTTGAAAGTGAGTGTGAGAGTTTGATAGTGTGAGAGTTTGATAGTGAGTGTGAGAGGGTTTGATAGTGAGTGTGAGAGGGTTTGATAGTGTGAGAGAGTTTGATGGTGAGTGTGAGAGAGTTTGATAGTGAGTGTGAGAGGGGTTGATAGTGAGTGTGAGAGGTTTGGTGGCGAGTGTGAGAGAGTTTGATGGCGAGTCTGAGAGGGTTTAATGGTGAGTGTAAGAGGTTTGATAGTGAGTGTGAGAGGTTTGACAGTGAGTGTGAGAGGTTTGATAGTGAGTGTCAGTGGTATGATAGTTTGGTGTGATAAAGTGCGTTCCTCAACCTGGCAGTATGCCGTGGCAGGGGACACACCTTATGGGTAGCGTCGGGCAAGTGGTCCAAGTAACTGGAATAAAATACAGCTGTTCCAAGAGTTCTTCTCCCCGTCACCTTTATTTACACACCAACAATCAGGCTTATATACATATTTACATGCGCACACGAACAAACGAAAACAAAATGAAAATAGTCTCTACAACTATACAATGAACCGGTGACTGCAAAGTCATATAGGTCTATACTCATCACCTTCAAACTTCCACCGAGCTGAAAGAAGGGATCTCCCCCGTACCCTCCAGTAATGCTTCTTATATTTGGGGTGCTCCTCCCCTAGAATATACCATTACTGGCCCGGGTTAAAACAAGTGCTTAATCTATTTAAATATATTTACATGCAACAGTAAATAATTCGTGATCTTCCTTACTGATCAGATTTATATTCACAACGTCATTAATATGCATATACAATACAGTGTACACTTATTAAACCGTTTTACTCTTCTTACAGGTTTTGTCCTTCCCTCCTCCTCTACAGAGGATGGACTCACCCAGGTGAGTAAATCACAGGTGAACCCGTTCAGTTCTCTTTTCTCCTCAAAGCAAGGATGACCAGTCTTCAAACAAGTACAGGTAAGTGTTAACAACCAGTCATTATAATGTGATGTGTAAAGGAGTACTTTACATCATCACATTTGGTTAGTTAGAATTTTGTCCTAAATGGCCTGTCATAGTTCTGGCCTGACCCAGCTATAGTAGTGGCCCCTGATCCAGCTTTCTTAGTTTCTGTCAGGAACCCTACTCTTAATCCAGTCCCTACCTCTGTCACTTCTTCAGTCCTCTTTTCTCTCTATGATCCAGTTCTGTCTCAGTCACAGTCTCTAACCCTGACACAAGTTATGTTGCAACTTCTGTCTCAATCCCTGAACCTCTTTGTTCTCTCAACCCTGCTATGGACTGTAATTATTTTTTGAGGAAGTGATATAGATTTGGTGTAGATTTAATTTTAACTTTGAGGGGGTACTTCATTGTCATAAAGCCTTTGTCTATTTCATATAATATGCTTCTATGTCCAAATGTCCAATCTGGACACAAATCAATAAACATTCAAAACAGCAAACTATAATAACTGGTTTATTTTAATTTCAAAAACAACAAAAAACAAACAAACAAATAAAACAGTGTCAGCTGGAATGGAGGCATTGACATATACAGTAGAGAATTCTCTGCTTTATGCAAAGTGTAGTTATTATATCCTTTTCATTTTTCACAATGCTTTTTACCTACTCTTCCATTTCAGAGTTCAGCTTGATTTGTTTGTAGAGCACTTTAATATAATGCCATACCTCTTCTGTCTTCAGAGTATACATGATGGGAATTAACATAGCCGGAATTGTTTGTGTAAAAATGTAAGTAAAATTGATCACAAATGAAATGGGATAAATTTTAAACCTTTTGTTGTGGACAGCCAGTGACCACATATGACCCAAATCTTGCATGTCTGGCAGCCACTGTTGACCGCAACTGAGTTTGTTCACCCAGATCAAGTCAGCCCCATAAAAATGCCATTAGAGGCTAATTCGGGTGAGTGACTCGTAGCACGTGCCTTCAGTATTAATGCCTGGTATGAGGGGCAGGTTGAAAGCATGGAGAGCAAAGTATAACGTATATAAAAAAATAATAATAAAGTGACCGAAAGGGGTTGAAAACTGTGGTGGCATAACCAATTACACCAGAAAATCAGTCATGTATATTTTGAGAATTATTATATTACTGCTGAAGTACAGTTCCAATCAGATGTTTCAGATATCTGTATTATCATAAATCCTCTTTAAAAAGTTGCTATCACTAGTTAACTTTAAAATTGTTGAACTGATGATACGTTTAAAAAAGAGAACCATTAACATTCAAATGACCATCTGCATGCTTAAAGGGCTCTTTGCATCACAAAATGGTTCTGCTATTGCTATGATGTCAAGCTTGTTACAGTGGAAGAACCCGTTTGGTGCTGTATAAAACATTCTTCATCAACAAGTTTCACCATGCAAATAACCCTTTAAGCCTGCAAATGGTTCGTTGAGTGTTCATGGTTCTATCCAGCACCATTTACTTTAGTAAAGTACCCTGGAAAAAACATATTTCAAACCCTACACTCTTGATGATGTATTAAGCTTTTAATGAAAAAGGTTTTGTGATATTGTCAATAAAAATCCAGTGAATCCAGTATCATTATCTTAATGTATACATATATTTTCTTACATCATACATCCTGATTATGTCAGAAGTATCCTTTGAAAAGAAGTGCAGAGGACAAGTAGGGTAGCTGTTCTTCTGTTCAGATTTGTGTCATACATGCAATTATAGACAAGAGTGAGTGAATTTATTATTTAAACTAGATTCCTTTTACTTTAAGCGGAATTGAGATGTAGATATTTACAGTTTTTTTAAAAGAACAATTAATTAAATAACCTTCAGATTAAATGAAAATGCATTTAAATGTTGCTTTCAGCCCCATTAGAATAGAGCTGGAATATTAAATAAACATGGATGTCACACACACACACACACACACACACACACACCACACACACACACACACACACACACTAAACAGTATTTTAGGATTTTTCCATGGCAGTTTCGTCCTAAAATAGAAATACAAATTTTGAAACACTCAGCAGATCATCACCATGTGCATGAAAAGGCACAGCATAAGATGTGATGAATTAGCCTTGATTGTGTAGCTAGCTAGCTAATGCGATCTTGCAGGCAAACGTTTTTTTTCAAACTGCGCACAATGTGTTTTCCACTCCAGTAACGTTGTACAGATTTAGGATCTAAAAACACACCCACCAACTAAAATATCTGCTACAGTCCCCAGTGGTGTATTAACTATTTTAGTTTTTTTGATGAATGATTTCCCAGTGAAACCAAAAACTGTCCATTCATTAAACATGATTTAAACCATTGTAAAACTGTGCCTCAGAGGCCTACACAGTTTTTCGAGAAGGTGGAATAGAATCTTATGTTCAACAATATCAAAAGATGCCCAAAGATCCAACAAGACCAACATTTTGTGCGTTATGTGCATCAGCACTAAGCTTGAGATTTTGTGCATCAGCGCTAAGCCTGAGCTCATTCAAAACTCAAACCAATGCTATGGTTAGAAATCTAAAATAATTTGTTCAATATTAGAATTGGCATTTAATTGTTTGAAAATAACTTTTCTAAAACTTTACTCAAAAAAATGAAGTTTGATGTAGATTTAGTGAGTACAGAAGGATCCATGCTACTGTTTTTTTATAGAGACTTCACTTTCAGAGGTCCATGAACTCTCTCACTTTTCAAATTTCTGATAAAAATTTCTATATGAATTCTTCATTCATTCAACATCGGAGACACAGGTGAAATAACATGCAAAAAGTTTACAACTTCTGAAGTTGCTACAGTGGTTTTGGAAAGTAGCAACAAAGATAAGGAGCATTTTAATATGAAACATGTATGAACATGAGTATTATGTTATATACAAGTGCCTTTAAAGGCGAATTTAAAAAGAAATTCGCAGAAGGTTGCAAAAATCCCCTGAAGGTTAATTAGTCAGTCTATGGAGAAAAAATGATCTTATATTATCGTATTATTTTTGTATTTATTAATTGCACTATATAAGAATGAATGTCTAGATCTTTTCATGACATTATTGTAGATGGAGATCTGCTGTTTGAGAATATTACAATGTGCTATTCTATCACGTTACACTCTGATAGTTTATCAATGTGCAAGTTTGGTCCCCAGAGAAAAGAATTTTGTCATAGCTTGGGATTTCTGTATTGTGGTGACAGCCACGTGGCACGCTGACAACCAGGAGCAGCCATGCAGGGAAGAGGCTCATTGGAGGCGTGTGGCCTGGTTAAAAGACGTACTGATTATGTTGTTTATGTTACTGTTGGTCAGTTTAAGTTATGTATATGTGTTTATTGGGATGTTCTGCATTGGGCTGTGGGTTTATTTATTTGGGTTTTGTGTGTGTGGGGTGGGGGGATGAAGCTTGTAGCTGGTGCACTGTAGTGTTGCTCGCAGTGTTGCTCGCAGTGTTGCTGTGTTGTGAACAAGCACACACACAAAAATGTGACACGTGTGACAAATGGGGTTGCCATGAAGGGGCTGAATCGGTCCTCTGATGATTCAGTACATAGCAGTTATGGTATTTTTAAAGTGTCATGATAATGTGATCATGCGTATTTAACTTAGCAAATTACATTCAATCAAAGTACATAAATATATGTGTACTCCTTGGTTCTACCTGTTTCTAGTGTCTCGTATTTTCTAGTCATTTGGTTTGACCTTCTTCTGCCTGTTAATGATTGTGATAATATATTTTTTTTAAACTTCCTCAAAATAAAAAAACTTTTATATTTAACACCAACGGTTATCGTATTTCCACATGTTTCTTGCACTGGTAACTGTTCCTTCTAGTTTTTAGCTCTTTGTAAATGTATTGCTTTTCATTTATACCTACCATCCAAATAATTGTAAAAGATGAAGTTGTACCGTTTTCCATATTTCCTAGATGGGCCTCCCAAGGTATTACACCTTCCAAGACGGTGCTTGCCCGTCATTTAAATAATTGTGCCACATCACACAAACATCTTGCCCTGCTCTTATTAACACAATCACTCATTCAGTCCGCATGCTTTCACATGTCTGCTGCCGTTTCACAGACAAACGTCTCTGAAGGAGAGGACATTGTAAAACAGTGATGCAATGTCACATCAAATGTTTTCTGTTTCTGTTAGTGACTGATTCACTCTTTTTCATTGCTATTAACAGGTTCTCTCTCTGTGAGCTATTTGGAATATATTCTGTCCTGATTAGAGTTGACAAACCAGCTGGGCATAAAGCTAGCATGCTTCAGTAATATTCAGAGACAGGGCTTAAGTTAAATCTTTATTGAAAGAATCAACATCCAAACTGGCGTGTAAGTACGCTACCAGTAGCTAAGTGTTGTCTTGGCATTATTAACTTGGTAACTGAATAAACAAAAACTATTTATCAAGCAAATTATCTGCATGAAGCTTTGCTGTGTAATGACATAGCCATGGCACTTAGGCATGATTTTGTGGTCACAATGCTGTGCTGCAAGACAGCCATTGTTGAGCTCTCCTCTACCACACAATATAAATACATTACTCTAATGCTGAACTGTAAATTATAATAATTTGCAGTGTAAAACAAAAGTAAAACACAAAAAATCAAAGTGAACATCACCTGCAAGTGTAATTTGCAACATATGTAGCAAATATACAGCTCTTAAGTTGACCAAAAAAAGGTTCAAACTTTACACAAATCCAGCAATGTACAGTGCATTAAACTACAATTATGGACTTATTTGACCAAAAAAAATCACTATGGCAGCACATAGAGAAGCATTTGAGCATTTCATCTATGTGAACAGTGGAAAGGTCTCTGCTTTATGCCAAACTACAGTTTGTATTTTTATTATTTTTTATTATTATTAGTATTATTCTTGTATTTGGATGTAGGTATGTTGTAATAGCAGCCATACAAATGCCAATGATAGGTAAATAAAACATGGCCACTAATATGATGTGGGAAGTGCAGGTTTTCAAAGCTTTCATGCGATCTGCACCATGTGAGATCTTACACAGAGCAACACCAATACAAACATATGAAATAGCTATGAGTGTCAGTGGAATGTAAAGTACAACAGCAGTACAGACAGCGGCCATTATATAATTAAGGGAATTATCATTACAGGCTAGTCTGAAGATGGGGCCATGATCACAGAAATAACTGTCAACTGTGGTAGATCTACAAAAGGACAGTCTTGTAATCAGTGCTGCAAGGAGGGCAATAATAGATACAGAAAAAAGCCACATAAAACCAATGATCAGAGTCATTGTAGTTTTGGTGACAACAGCATGATACCTCAGAGGAAAACATATAGCAATTACTCTGTCAAAGGCCAAAGCAAGCAGAGTAAGGGACTGCAGGGTCATAAAGAGAAAAACAAAAAACATATTTGCCAGACAGTTTTCATAAGATATGTACTGGTTTTCAAACAGAAACATGTCAATATATTTTGGAATAAGAGCAGAGCTTCCACACAGATCAGACAAGGCTAAGTTAAAGACAGCTATATACTTTGCTGTGTGCAGAGTACGTGCCAGATATATAGTACCCATTATAAAAGAATTGCCCAAAACAGTCACAGCGTACACAAAACAAAAAAATATATAATAATACTTTGCATATGGCATGTTGTAAAATCCATTGATGTAAAATGTGGAGGGGCGAATAAATGTTGCATTATCAAGGGGCACAACAGAAGCCATGTTAGGAGGAGACCAGTAATAAACTATTAGGAAGAATATCTATAAAAGCTTGAAACAGTTCTTTTTGTTACAAATAATACAAATATACAAACGCTAATAAAAATGATGTAGAGATTTTTCAACCCATCCAATAAATCAAAAATAAATGACTGAATCTCTGTAATAGTAATAAAAGCATGCAAAGTAAATGAAGGTCTTAAAAACTCATTCACAGTGCTTTGATACAATGCTGCTGAAGCAGAAGTTCAAGAGAGATCAAACACATTTATAACTGGTCTCCGTTTACGTCATTCTCAAAAGCACATCTCCAAAAAAACACAAATCTCTATAGAGAAGATTGTATGCTAAACTGGAATACATTTGCATTGAACAAAAATGCAGAAATAATTGACTCTTCTTTAATAAATCAAATTGACATAATAAATTATAAATCAGGATAGAATGTAGGGGTTGCAATGACTGTGTCTGTAAAGTAACACATGTTGCCTAATCAGTCATTATTTGAAGGCAGGTTGGCATCCAGTCAGGCTGGAGTTGAATATGTGCATAAAACACTGCAGTTTGGTGGATTTTTGAAGAGAGTGTAGATGTAGTCTTCATTGCTTTTTGTTTCCCATGATTCTTTGTTTCAGCACTGACATGATCAGGAGAAAAAAATCTAGAAATGACCAGAAAATGACCAGGCAGAATGAATGGTGACGAGAGATCAGTTGTTGCACAAATGTAATGTTTTTGTGGTTGTTTTCACTAAAAGGTTTTTAGTATTTCTGACAAGTCACTGTGTAGCTTTATATGTAGTCTTTATCCTGTTGGGTGTAAAAAGTGCTAGACCATTTCTGTGGATTTCACAGAAGCATCAATAGGGTAGGCTACAAATAATAGCCTCATGTCAGTACCGGAGATGTTAATAGGTCGCTTTATGCAAGTCTGAGTCAAGTATTTAGTCTCTGGAATGTAAGTCGAATCTTCGGAGGGAATTTTAGTTTAGTCTCATTATTAGTTGCAAGTATCACACTGTACAAAAATAAACCCCTACAAAATCCTGTCAGCTTTGACACAGCTTTAAAGACACAATAAGTTGTTCGTAATGGAAAAACCTTCAGTATGAAGAACAAAATTGAAGTGCTACACGCTGCAAATGTGGTGTTTAAAGGAAGAGGCAAAACACCTTGAAACAATGGGTGTGTCTGTGACAACTATACAGCTAAATTAGCTACTGTGCTAGCTAGCATAGTTGCTGTTCAAACTACATGCTAACCAACTTTTTCAAGTTGTTTTGTTCCTTTCTTTTTTTTTTTTTAACCCAATTTTCTCCCCAATTCAGTCGCCGCCAATTCCACCCGCTAGGTAGGACTCCCCCAGTCACACGATACTATCAATGCTAGGAGGGCGAAGGCTAACACAGGCTTCCTCCAGGACCTGTGAAGCCAGCCACCACTTCTTATCGAACTGACGCTCACGCAATGCGTCATTGGGCAGCTGATCATACTGCTTTATTCTGTCCCTCAGACAGAAGGTTTTTTTTATAATGCAGGAGACAAGAACAGTAATAACTTAGCATAACCGCAGCAAAATTGACACTTAGGGTTGGAAAAGAAAGGTGTCATTCTTTTACCACATTAAGGTATGTTTCTTAGGCTGAAATTTCACAAGTCTTAAGTCTTGAGTTTGAGTCAGTAGTTAGTCAGTTAAGGTCCAAGACTGAGTCAAGCTACGAGTCAGTCTCCATGCAACTCAAGTGTGACTCAGGTCTGATTCTTTGACTCGAGTATCCATGTTTGGGAGGTATGCCTTGATTCAGTGTGCTTTGTCACAGATTCTGCAAGTCTTTGGAACTGTACTGGATAAATAGAACACTATTATTCCAACATAGTATATGATTTATATCATTTTATACTCTTCAATCCATTCACTGTCCCTAGTGCCCTGGTGCAAAAATGTCTTCCCAAAGCATAACAGAGCCCTCATTGTAAGGGTGAATTATTTAGGCCTGTACTATTCTCTTGGTGTATGCCACACATGCACTACTTGTTAAGAATATGGTCATAAAAATAAGGATCACTACAACATCCCTCTGTAGTTGTCGACAGACTTTTCTTGCTGACACAGTCTCTTGCTGACACAGTCATGTCCTGTGCTGATATCCTCAGCCACATGAGCTTTTTTTCCCATACATATTGCACAAGCATCTTGGCCACAAAATGTATGTGTGCTTGTGTCTTCTGACTGAGATTTGTTTTTCTGCCTGTAAAGGTAGGCTCTGAGTTTAAACTGTCTGTAGTTTAGACTCTGTTAATCACATGGCTGCCTTGTTGAACCTTGTGCTTAATTGTAATTACTAGTTTCAGGTGTGATTTCATGTTAGCCAAAGGTGTGAATTGTAGGGGCTAGGCTATCAGTTAGAAGGCTAATAAATTGAGGAGGTATCCACTGACATGCATGTCTGTAGCAGTCTGTGTAGCAGCTAGGTTGCCAAACTTGTCCCATCTGTCCCATCCATCATCAACAGAAACGCGACTGTTTAACATTGGCTGAGTATCACTTTGTTATTCTTCATATATCTCTTCATGTCTAAATTGCTCCAGTTTTGCATGTCCAATATGTGTTTTTCAATACTTGTCTACTCATTTCATAGATCTAGTGGAACCCTTCATTGTTGCAAGACCTGCAATTCCAGTAACCTCCAGTAATCTACCCCCACGTTCATCACAATCTTAGACCAGGGTGCCAGGTGGGCTCTGGAACTGCCAATCCACAGTCCAGAGGGCATTTCAGCCTTAGCATCATTCCATTCACTGCACTTCCTAGTCTTGACAGAGACTTGGATCACCCCCAAGAACTCAGCGACTCCTGCGGCCCTGTCCTCTGCCTTTAACTTTTTCCATTCTCCAAGACAGACTGGCAGGGGTGGTGGCACAGGTTTGCTTTTGTCTAGAAAGCAGCATTTCCACTTGCTTTTCCTTATCTTTCTATTACCTTCTTTGAGTTCCATGCGCCCTGCAATGGACTGGCGACCTGTCCAGGGTGTATCCTGCCTTCCGCCCAATGACAGCTGGGATAGGTTCCAGCACCCCACCGTGACCCAGAAGCGGTTTAGATGATGTGTGTGTGTGTGTGTGTGTGTGTGTGTGTGTGTGTGTGTGTGAGTACCATACTGTCACTGTATCTTTCCCCACTAAACTTCACCTTGTCCTCTAGGCAAATTTATTGGTGAGTTACTCATACTCTTGGGTGACTTCAACCTTCCAATGGACAATCCTGCTTCTTACCTCTGCTATCATCCTTTGACCTCAACCACAAAGCATGCAATGTTCCAGACCTGATAAGCAGACCAGTCCCTGCGCTGGATGTTACAGTAACCCCCTTCACTGCTCTGATCACCACTTTCTATCTTTCACAGTCTCCCTCCCTGCTACATACCACTCCTTCATGCTCTTCTTTTACTCGGTGCAACCTGCAATCTTCCCCACCCCTGCCTCCTGCATGACAGGTGTCCTGCGCAGCAAATTGCAAGAGCTAGGAAAGGCTGAGAGAAGGTGGAGGAAATCCCAGCGTGACTCCAATCTTTGCTCCTACCAATCTCTCCTTTCTAAGTTCTCACCTAAAGTGACTCCTGCAAAGTCATCTTTTAGAGGAAAACTGGAAGCATCAGCATCTGATCTACACAAGCTCTTCAGCATTTTCTTCTCTCTCCTCAACCCTCCACCTCTTCCTCTACCCTCTTCTTATACCCCTGAGGATTTTTCTCCTTCTTTGAGAAGAAGGTTAAGAGAATCAGCCAGTCTTTTTCCTCTGTCTTCACTCCTTCCACTAGTCCTTGTCCTCTTGCTCTTAATCCCCTAATATGTTTTTCTTCTCTTTCCACAGATGATGTCCTACAGCTACTCAAATCCAGTAATCCAACCACCATCCCATCCACATTGCTTCAGTCAATTACCATGGATCTACTGCCATTCATCACTTTTCTCATAAACAACTCCCTGTCATGAGGTCACGTTCCATTAGCATTCAAGACTGCAAGAGTGGTTCTAGTCCGGAAGATGCCCATGCTTGACAGCTCTGATGTCAACAGCTACAGACTGGTATCACTCCTTTAATTTTTCTCAAAAATTCTTGAACGTGCAGTCTATAATCAACTAAAATAATCAATCAACCTTGGAATCACTGGCTCCACATGGAAGTGGTTTAAGTCCTATTTGGAGGGGCACTCTTATCAGGTAACATGGAGATGCTCTACACTCATTCTCTGGGTGATGTAATATCCTCTCATGGCTTCTTTTACCACTGCTATGCTGATGACACTGATGCTGTGCTTTCCTTCCCACCTTCTAATACTCAGGTTTCCAGTCGCATGCCGGAATGTCTAACTGACATCTCTTCATGGATGGCAGCTTACCACCTGAAGCTCAATCCTAGTAAGACTGAGCTGCTATTCATCCCTGGTACTACATTTCCTCACCATGATCTAGCCATCTAATTCGAGAACTCTTTAATCCCTTTGACTCTTTATAGTCTCAATGTGATTCTGAATGACCAGTTATTGTTTTTAGCTTATACTGCAAACCTGGCTCGGTCATGCAGATTTCTCCTGTACATCGTTTGGAGGATTCAATCCTTTCTCACTCATAGGCCTCACAGGTGTTTGTTCAGTCTCTTGTCATCTCAAGGCTTGACTATTGCAACTTGCACTTGGCAGGTCTTCCTATGTGGGCTATCAGGCCCCTGCAACTCATCCAGAATGCAGCAGCACAACTTATCTTCAGTCTTCCCAAGTTCACTCATGTCATTCCACTGCCAGAATAATATTTTTGTGGTCTGATTAAACCATTCGACCAGTCCATCTGTTTGGGCATGATAAACACTGGTATGAATTAATTTAATGCCCAAGAATTCATAAAGTTTGCATGAAGTGTGTGACATGAAAATAGCACACTGTTAAAATCTCTTTAGGAATCCCAACTCAAAAGATCTCTCAAAGGACTGCATTCACAACACCACAT